CCTGTGAGGGCCGTGGGGGTCCTGGGGGCTTTTCCCAGGCCTGGGAGACTCCACAGTCTGGTCAACAGCAGCAGGAGCTGAGGTCCACATTGAGGGGTGGGCTAGTCCCATGCAGCCCCTCTACTCCCAGCTCCCTAAGGGCTTCCTGTTGACACAGCAGTAAAGGTCAGCCAGCCAGGGTAGGTAATGAATGCTGGGGGTGGAGAGGGTGGGGACGCATTATCCAAGAGCTAAAAGTTGGTACCTCCAGGCTCATTCTCCGTGGCACCACAAGGATTAATAAAGAGGGGCATTCTCAGTGGATGAGAATTTGCATGGTCACTCTTATTCAAACTCAGGAAACACACCTGGAGGCTAGTCAGTAGACATGCTAATGAGCACCTTCAAGGCCTATTTCAAATGTAAAAGACCCCATGGATCTCCTGTGGGAACAGCAACATCCAGAAGTGAAATAGGGAATGTAGGCGTGAACCCAGGTGGAAAGGAGCAGGGCAGCCTTGATACTTTGTGGCTGCTGTTGTTCTTTTAGTTATACACCATAGCAGACTGCACTTCAATCCATTGTACACAAATGAACATGAGTTTTCATTTCTCTGGTTGTATAGGAAGTAGAGTTGCACCACATGTGCAATCATACTTCCTACATGTACCTTGGGTAATGACATCATCTCATTCCACTATCTTTCCTACCCCCATGCCCCCTCTCTTTCCCTCCTTCCCCTTTGCATAGTTCCTCCATTCTCCACACACACACACACACACACACACACACACACACATTATTGGTCAGCATCCACTAATCAGAGAGAACATTTGGCCTTTGGCTTGGGGGAATTGGCTTACTTTGCTTAGGATGATATTCTCCAACTCCATCCATTTACCTGCAAATGCCATAATTTTATTCTCTTTTAATGCTGAGTAATATTCCATTTGTCTATGTATCACAGTTTCTCTCCATTCATCTATTAAAGGGCATCTAGGTTGCTTCCTTCAATGCCTGTTTGACACATTTTGCTCCATGCTCTGCCCAGAACAATGTATAAGCTCCTGAGCTGGTACACCAAAATGTTTATCTCTTCTCATTTAAACAAGTCCTGCTGTGTTTACTTTCCTCCATGATTGTATGTTATTCTTCAGAATGTCGCAGAAAAGAACCAAGAGGAATTAGTCTCATCTCAAAACTCCGGTTTCATGAGGCCTATAAGAAAGTTAGGTCAGATCCACCCCCTCCCACGGAGACCCAGCTCTGAGTCACCTTCTCTTTATACTAGTGATGAGAATCAGAGCTCTTTCCCAGATTGGAAGATTGAACACCCAAGAAACACAGAGCAAAGCCTGTCCAAGGAAGGGACATCACCTTTGTCCTTGGAAAGACCCACAGAGCACTCCTAGGCACATTCCCACCCTGCTAAGTGGTTTATCTACAAATAACAGGAGAGACCTGCTGCGCCAGGTGTCCCTGACTCAGTCAGGCTAGGTGGGGACCCATAGCAGCCCAGATGCCAGATGACCCTCCCAGTAGTTTATGGTGGTTGATAACATGTTGGGAAACCACGTAGTTCAGCAGGAACACCCCTCTTCGCTTAAAACAATCAGTTCAAATGAATACCCCTCTTGTACTGACCAAGCACCCCTACCCAACCTGTTCCTGCCAGTGGATGTGCTAATCATGTTTTAGAGTTGTTATTTGATTTTCCCGAGGTGTGTGATGATTTGCTAAGAGACGCTATGATGTATGTGAAGTCCCTGCCTTCCCCAAAGAGTGTATAAAACTGCTGCAAACCCTGGGCCCGGGGCCTCTCAGCGTCACCAGTTGCTGTGTGCACTCGGAGGACGGAGCTACCTCGCAATCAACACCTCTTTGCTGTTTACATCCATCTTGGTCTCTGGTGGTCTTTTGGGCGTCCCAAATTTAAGCATAACAAGGCAAATGTAGAAAAGCAAGTTTTATTTAAAGGATAGAAGGTCGGTGGCGGTGACTTAGAACAAAGCAGCCCGTGCGGGAAAGAAACTTCAGTCAGGTGCCAGCAGAAACGCCTGTCAATCAGCAGGACCCCCTGGCCAATCCTGAAGTTCAGCCAGCTCCCCCACACACACTAACTCGAGCGGGACAAGAGACTCTAAAAACACCTTTTCCTGTCCCAAGCCCTTCCCTTCCTGCCTAAGCCCCATAAAAGTCCAGTCCGGTCAAGCTTCCATGCGGTTTCTCCTCAGACCCTTCTCCTATCCACTCTGTGGGTCTGACCCAGTTCCTCCCGGGAGTGATATCTCAATAAAGCCGGCTTCAGCGGCCTTTTAAAATCTGCCTCCTTTGGTGGCTGCCCACCTTGCCTGATCTGACAGAAGGGCATTCAGAGGTCATTTCTTACTTCTCATGCCCCCTCTTTTTTGTTTTATTTATTTTTTATTTTATTTTATTTTTATTTATTTATGTGTGTGTGTGTGTGTGTGTGTGTGTGTGTGTGTGTGTTGCTGAGGATGAAACCCAGGGCCTTGTGCCTGGGAGGTAGGCCCTCTATCAGCTGAGCTATAGCCCCAGGGCCCTCTCCTTGTATCCAGCCATGTGGCAAAAAGGCAGGAAGGGGGCAATCTAGGGGTACCTCTCCCCATTTTCCATTGTCTGTCCAGAAAAGCGTGAAGGGAGCCACCAGGGAATGTCACTAACGGTTTCCTGCAGGGAGGAAACTTCCTGAGAAGCAGGTGACCGTGGCCACAGGTGAGGGGAGGGGCATGTGTCCTGAAGGCAGTACATCTCCATTCCCTTCTAATCTGCTTCCACCTTCACAACCTGAACCCATCATCTCTCTACACCAACTACCTGCCCTTGTTCTTGCTTCATTCAGAGAAGTCTGTCTCCATCACTTTCTTAAATGAAGCTTGCTGTGCTTGCCTTGTCTCTTGTCTGGTGCTCAGTCTTTGACTGTGGGGAACAAGGACCCCATCTCCACCAGACCTGCTTCACTGTCCTGGGCCTCCTGTGCGGAAGCCTCTGATGAAGGTGGAGTCTGGGGAGACACGAGCCCTGCCGTCCTCCTGCCCTGGGGTGCCTTCCATGCCAGGGCATGTGGCTGGGGCAGAGGGGCTCAGTGCATTTGCCAGCTGCTTCCCAGCACAGAGCCACATTCCCTTGTATGCATCTCAGGTGTGGAGCTGGCCACAGGGTGACCTTGGTCATGCAGGATGAGCCCAGTGCCCCTGCTCAGGATGGTGAGGTCCATCTGTGGTCAGGGCTACAGCTCCAGGTCAGCCTGAAGGGTCAGGTGTTCCTGCTGCCTGCCTGCCCCTGAGGGGCCGAGTTGTGGCCTAGGCCCCCGTGTGCCGCTTCTGGCTGGAACCCTGACAGCGTTGGCCTCTCTGAGGGGAAACCCTGTCAGCCAGGCCCTCTCCAGGCTGCCCCTGGGCTGTCCCTCAAGGTGAAGTTGAAAGAGGTGGCAGCAGCTCAGCCTCCCGGGGGCCTTGGGCAAGAGGTGAGGGGCAGAATGACCCCAAGGGCGCCGAGGAGAGTAGTGGTAGGACTGCAACCGCTAGGTCCCCGTCTGATGGACGCTCACCCGGTGCCCTCTCCTGGTGTCCCCTCGGGTCCCATCCCCACGGTGGCTGTGTGCACCCTGGGCTCCTGACCTTGCTGAGATCAGCGCCTCTGCTCTGGGCGCTCACCCAGTCTGGCCCAGGGAAGTTATTTCTGAGAATGAAGCGTCTCCTGAATCCCACACTCGATGGCCACTTCCAGGACCTGGGGCCCCATCCACCCCTTCTCCTGTGGGCTGTGGTGAGCTGCTAGGACTTTGCCAGGTCTGGGCTCCAGGTACCGTGGACCCTGTCTCCCCTCACACGCAGGCTGCCCAGGGCCTGCATCCAGCTCTGCCCATGGGGAGGCCGCCCTGCCAGGGTCCTCAAGCTGCCCTGACTGGGCTAGAGAGAGGCCCCGACCCTCTGCACCTGCCCCTCACAGGAGCTGCCCCATCAAGAGGAGGCTGAGCTCTGCTTTCTCCATCATCTGGTCCCAAATGCAGCCTCTGCTGCCCCCGGGGTGAGCAGAGGGACAGGCGCTGGGAAGCAGCGCAGGACACAGGATCAGGACCAGCCTCCTGCTCCATCCTACTCCACTCCCCCCCAAAAACACCTGCAGTATTGCTGGCCCACTGGGTGCTCTGGCCGCCAGTTCTGACACGGTCCTGCTGGTGGTAGCCAGTTCTGCCACATGGTTCCTAGTGACTGTTGAACCTGTCACACAAAGAAAAGTCCACCAACTCCAATCTTAAGCCAAATTAAAGCACCCTTATATTGTGTACACAAGAGAGCTGATCAGTGACTGCCTCACCCAAAGACCAGGCAGAGGACAGCGTCTGGTCTAAGCACAGGAAGGTTTTAAAATTTAAAAAGTGGGTTGTCTTGGGAACTTACAGCTAACAGGGTTCTGGCAAGCCTGACACAAGAGTGGACAACAGGTTGATGATTCTACATGCTTAACATTTCAAGGCAGGGAATTAACCCAGATTCCAACATCAGAATCTATAAGGAGCCACCGAGGTGTCAGGGAGGGTTGTTACCTAGTCAAGGAGCGCCAGGCCTGGGTGAGTTCAGAGCACGGGCGGGAATTCCAAACAAGTTAAACATCAGAGTGTGGTCAGGCCAAGTAAAAATCTTAGTATTTTAAGGTAAAACAGAAATGAACTTTTCATGACCTTGTGACAAGATGGCTCCCAATCTTAAGATGGAACTAGGCTGGGTTCATCGGTGGCCAATACCCATCCTTAGAGACTGAATAGAAAAGCTCACGACGTCCAGCTCCCACGCACCCAAGCCCGAGACCGCCCCACCTGGCCCCCTGTTCCCCCTGGGCTCCCTGTGGCCGGTCGGCAGCAGTCCACGCTCCTCCGCCAGAGCCTTGTCTCCTGCAGGACCTCCTGAAGGAGCGGAGGACAGATGGCCAGTGCCTGGACCCAGGAGGCTCTGTGCCTGGCTCCACATAGGCAGGTACTCTCACCAGGGCCCTTCCTCCTGGCTGACCACACTAGGCCGACTCCTGCCCCAGGGACCAGGTCTGCTGGTTGGTGGGTGCAGTGTGGCTTCTGCCAACCTCTGTTGCTCCTGTTCCAGTCACACATGGGAGGAATGGAAAGTGCCTGCTGGGACGGTCCACGGCCTGGGGCCCATTGTGAGTGGACTTTAGATTTGGACACTGCTGACCCCTTGGTGCCACATGGACAAGGAGCCATGTCGACACTCTGGGTGTCGAGACCCTCACCTGCTCCTGTGTGTCCACTGTGCCCAGCACCTCTGGAGTCCCCTGTCCTTGAGTCCACCGCCCAAGTGATGTCCACATGATCTGTGGGGAAGGACTCGGGTGTCAGAGAGTGTCCACAGCCATCGCATGTGTGGCCGCGTCTTTTGTCCTGGGGACTCTGCCCTCCCTGGTCGCGGGGCTGCCTCTGAAGCTGAGTGAAGGCTCAGGGTCCGACCCTGGGGGAGCACTGCCCTGGTCCTACCTCCCACCCTTGCTCCTTGGCCGGTGGGGCCTGGGCAGTGACCTCCTTCACTGGCCTGTTTCCCCAGAGGGACCCAGCCTTGGGGAACATTCTCAGAGCTCTCTGCCTGCCAGGAGCACAGTGAGGGGACTGCTGTCCTCCTGGCCTCGCAAGCTGGACACAGGCCCTCCAGGGCTTCCCATCCCTGGCCTGGGTGGTGGGGCACCTGGCCTCCTGAGGCAGCTGTGACTGTCCCATCCTGGGACAACGGACGGACCCCTGCACCCTAGGGAGAGGGTACAGTCCCTCCCAGGTCCCAGGAGACTTGAAGTGCTGGTCGCCCCCAAATGAGGCAGAAGCCTGGGAGATGTGCCCCACGCTGTGGGAAAGAGGAATGCAGAGGCTGGAGACGTAGCCTTGCTACATGCTGGGCCCCTCGGGTCCAGTCACGTGGCCCTGTTCGTGTCCCCTGGTCTGCAGGCCGCAGAGCACGGAAGGGGGGTGGGAGGGGCTGAGGCCCAGCTGGGTCCAGGGGTGCAGGGCAAGAAGCAGTGGGCAATCCAGCTCCTACTGCAAGGGGGTCCAGGGCAAGGTTAGCCCAGGGATACCCCCAGGCCACCACCATTCAAGGCCCTGACTCAACCCAGGTCTCAGGTGTGACTGGGCAGAGCTTTGTTCTCCCCTGAAGGCCAAGGACCTGGGCTACTGCCCCCCATCTCTGGGCTGCAGACTCCTGATTCCCATCCTCTGCAGCCTTCCTGGGCACCTGGAGCCCTGGGAAGTTTAGACCTCGTCAATCTGCCTGCAGCCACCAAATACAGGGAAAGCCAGATGCCACCTAGCACTGAGCACCCCCAGCCAGAAATCAGGAACTTGCAGAACCTGGGACATGCATGGGACAGCAGAGGGAGAGGTTCAGATCATGCACCAGGCTGGGACTGCCAGCAGACCCCTCCCCAGGCGAGATCACAGCACACCCGCGTACCATACACTTTATTGAATCCCACTGTGGACAGATGTGAGCGTGTAAATGCTTCAGAAAGCGAGGGGTGCAGGGCAGAGCCTCAGCCCAGGGTGCACGGCCAGCTAGGGAGGGTTGGACATGGCAAGAAGGGAAACTTGACCTTGCCTCAAATACAGGAAACTCTTTCAAATGTTAGTTGTTTATTTTGGTGCTGGGGATTGAACCCAGGGCTGCCTGCATAGTCGGCACCCTCCACATTAAGCTACACCCTCACCCCTGCCTGAACTCTTTTTTTTAATTAGTTATACATGGCAGCAGAATGCATTTCATTTCATTGCACAAAAATGGAGCACAACTTTTCATTCTCTGGTTGTACATGATGTAGAGTCGCACATTTTGTTTTAACCCTTACAGCACTTAACCCTTACAGTCCTTTTAAGTAAGCAATCATGAAGATGATGGTCAGGAGGATGATGAAGATCAGGGCCCAGATGTTCAGGCACTTGGCAGTGGAGGCGAAGGCCTGGGCCCCAGTTATGTCACCTACCATCTTCCTGTCCCTAGACTGGGGAGACCAGATGGAGAGGGTCAGGGGAGAGGCAGGTGCCAGGCCCAGGCCCCCAGGGTCCTCTCTGCCCCTGCCTTTCACACACTCAGACTGTGCAGCAGGCCCCAGTGCTGGCTGCTCACCCCACTTGGGAGACAGCCTGGGGTGCCACAGTCTGCAGTGTGCAGCGGGTATTTCTGCCATTGGGCATAGGGAGAAGTCCTCTGGGTTGGGGATGGGGACAAGAGTGACCCCAGATTCCCAGGCTTCTCCTTCCTGTGCCTGCCCTGGGAGATCCCCTAATGCCCCCACACTTACCTAGAAAGAGGAGGGCACACAGGGTCAATGCACATCAGCCTTAGGGGGTGATCCACAGCAGCTCCCCCAGCACACACAGACCCACACACCCCAGGTGCCGGTGGAGTGTCAGCCTCCCAGGTACTTCCCCACCCATGCACTTCCCCCCCCTGCACCTCCCACTGCCCAGCCCCCCCCACAGCACACACACCTTCACGGAGTAGGCGAAGGCTATGAAGCCCAGGCAGCAGAAGTTCATGAAGAGCGTGTTGAACAGGGACCAGGTGACATAGTCAGGTGTGATGTCCTCCCTGCTAATAGAGATCACAGTGGACATCCGGGGAGACAAGCCTGGCTCCTGGTGCACCTTGTTCTGCATTGAGAAGTCTGATGCTGCTGAGGTCGGAGTCTGGGAAGTGCGATTCTGGTGGCCCACAGAAGCCCTTTTGTGGAGTGAGGCCCAGATGCTGGGGAGGGTCCTGGAAGGTCTGGCCCCTTCTCAGCAGTCTCCTCCCGTGGACCCTAAAGTTCTGCTTTCTCAGAGGTTCTGGTTCCTGGTGTTTGTACATTAGTTATTGTCTGAGGGAAAAAGATGGGGAAAGAAATTAGTGATGATTTCACTAGGGCCAGGTGTCTGGAGAGGCCCGAGTTGGGGGTGGGGACAGTACTTCCTGCCCAGGAACCCAAATCAGAACCTGCTCAGCTGACCCCTCTGTGTGAAGGCTGTGGGTGACCCAGGTCTCTTCCCTGGCCTGCAGGTCTCCACAGTCCAGGCCAACAGCAGCAGGAGTCCACTACCCCTGTTCTCCCCAGGTCCCTGAGGGTGTCCCCAAAGCCCACACTCACTGTCCTGGGCCCAGGTGCCTTCCAGGCCAGGGCACAGGCTCTGGAGCTCAGTGGATGAGAGGCGCTCTCCTGGGGGATCAGCGCAATTGCCAGCTGCCCCCAGCACAGAGCCATGGACCTGTGCCGGCCTGCCTCTCTTCCCAACCCTGGTCGGGTCTCCCAAGGCCTTGGCGTTGGAGGGAGTGTCGGAGCTGGGGGTCTGGGACCACCACACAGCCAGTTCCTGGAGAGGGCGGTGGCCCCCTGGCCAGGGCTTCCTGAAATTTCAGCCTTTCCTCTTGCGGCTTCACACACACCCACAGGAAGATGGGGAAATCTGGGTGCAGGAGGGCAAGCCTCCTGCAGCAGAAGCTGCCAGCGGCTGACTTGACCCCCTGGCAAGGGTGGGTCCCCTCAGCTGAGGAGCCAGCCTCACCTGCGTCATGGTGGGGACAAACTGCATCCAAGCCAGGCAAGCCCCCAGGTGTCCACGGCCACAAGGACCCAAGAGGCCACACAGGGTCCCACAGCCCCTGGTGTGCACATGGGATGGTGGGCTCCGCAGGGTCCCCGAGGGGAACCAGGGCTGCCTCCACCCCGAGACCCAGGGACACACCCACCCCGAGCCACCCGCACCGGTAGAGGGCTGCAGAGCCCTGACTGTGACCCTGCTCTGCGGCTGAATGCCAGGGTGTGGGCAAGGGACTTGTTCTTTATCCCAACGTCCCTGTTGAGAGGGGACATGCCAGGTGCAGGAACCTTCACATTCGCACCTTCCGGCAACCGGAGATTTCTTTGGTGGTTCCCTGAGGAGGACAGTGGGCCAGGATCCTGTGACCAGCTGGTGAATGTGGAGTCACCCTGGCTGGTCACCTAGGCCTCGGCCCTCCTCTGGGAGATGGCAGGGCGGCTCTGCCACCCCCTGAAGGCCAGGCCTATTGGGATCTAGGTGGGGGGTGTTCTCCTGGTACCTCCTCTGGCTCCAGTGATGCCAGGATTCCTATCCAGGGGCCCTTGGCTGGGCCCCTGCATGACACCGCAGGCCCTCGCTGGGCACAGCAAGAAGGCACACAGATATGGGGTTGTGGTTCCCGGTGGCGCGGTCCTTCCCGGGAGGCCTCAGCCTTTGTCTCACACCCCTCCCGACTTCCCTGACAGAATCTTGGTGACTTCAGAATGCAATACTCGTGAGTCCCTTTCCCCTAGCTTTCCACCTGCCACTGTCTGGTGTACTGGAGCTGTGTGGTGGAGTGTGTGTCCCAACCGTTCCCTCTTGTGAGAGTCACCTGTGAAAATGCAAATCAGCTGGGCGCAGTGGCACAGGCCTGTAAGTCCAGCGGCTAGGGAGGCTGAGTCGGGAGGATCTCGAGTTCAAAGCCAGCCTCAGCAACAGCGAGGTGCTAAGCAACTCGGTGAGACCCTGTCTCTAAACAAAATACAAAGTAGGGCTGGGATGTGGCTCAGTGGTGGAGAACCCCTGAGTTCAATTCCTAGTACCAAAAAAAAAAAAAAAAAAAAGCAAATCTATTTCCCAAACCAAGGCACGTTGGCTGCCTGTACTCCACTCGCAGGCCTGCACTTTCCCTGCGACACCTAAGCCAGGAGGACCCCACTCTGCACTTCCAGGGGAGCACCGGCTTGCCGTTCTTCACTTTCACCCCTAAGTATGGTGGAACCAAACCCCAGGTTCCTGCTAAGCCCAGCTGGAAGGTGGGAGCTTCCCCAACCAGGCAGGACAGGTTCCATCCTGGGAGTTCAACCCTCAGGCCCCGGGCTGTGCCCCTGGCAGCCACGCCCCTTCCTCAGGGCTCCCTAGCACCAACCTGGGCTCCTGGTGGTGTGATAGTTAGGCCAAAGCGACTCCATTTTGTAAAATAACCAGGCCAAGTAGAAGGGTCATGACTGGGGCAAGATGTTCTTTTCCTTTTGCTATAGAAACCGTTAAGAACATGGAGCTACCTAATGGGCATTGTTTCTGTAACTAGGGTGACGGGGCTCTGTTTCTGTAACTGGGGTGACTGGGCTAACTGGGATTGGCTAAGCGCCCACCACCAGACTGCACTCTCCCGCTCCTGTCACCTGGCTGCCTTGCACTGGCTGGACCCCCAAATGTCCCTTTTGAGGTTTTCAGGCTTATAGGAGTGCCCTTGCAATTGTTAGGGGCTGATCAGGGGAACAGCTTTATGTTCTGGTCAGTCGCCACCAGTGTGCTTCAATAAAGGCTCGATTCGGTTATACGTGAGTGGTCTGGAAGTCAGTTTATGAAACCCAGGGACGAAGCTTTAACAGTGGTCCAAAAGCCCTCTAAGTGACCAGTGACAATGCTCTCAACTCCTACCACTTAGGGAGCCAGAGGGTTCAGGAACACTGGAGTGACCAGGAAGAAGACCAAACGTCCTTCCTGCCTTTTTTTTTCCTTCCTCCCTCCCTCCCTCCCTCCCTCCCTCCCTCCCTTCCTTCCTGTCCCCGGGATGGAGCTCTGAGCCTCATGCGTACTAGAAAGCCGTCTACCACTGGGATACACCCCAGTCTGTTGTTGTTTTGTCTAAGACCAGGCTTCACTATGTTGCCCAGACTGACCTTTAACTTGGAATCCTCCTGCCTCACTCAGCCTTCTGAGCTCATACCTCACTGTGCCCAGCTCATGGGAGGGAATTTTTAAAAATAACTTTATAAAAGGCTACATGTATCCATTTGTTCAACAAATACACATTGAGTTCTGCTAAAAGAGAAAGGTTTAGGAATCTTAATTGACTTTATTTGTAGCTCTAGGTTTGGGGAACAGTTTGGTCCAAGGAGGGTTCAGAAAGCCAGCCCAGCGCGTGGAAAGTTTGCAGGAAGGGATGGAAAGAGCCCAAGTGAGCAGAGCAGCTGGCTGGTCTCATCTGGAAATGTTGTGAACAGGGGAGGCTCTGAGGGCCTGGAACTGGCGGCTGGTGACAAGAGCCCTGTGGGTATTGTACTCACTGATCGGAGTGCGCTTCCCTGCACACACAGGCAGCTCTGGGACCTGCTTATCCATTTATCGGTGCCGCCACTGCGCTTTGGGGGCTGAGAACACAGGACCCTGGAGTCTGGTGTCTGGGTGTGGCATGTCTTTGAGCCCAGCTCTGCTCAAGGTACCTGGCCCTCCTGCCTCCTGCCCTCCTCCCCTGAAGACAGACATAGAGGCCAGTCCAGCCTCAGAAAGGTTGCCCTCTCCCTTCTCTCTTGAACAGCCTCCTTCCAGAGGGTCCTGCCCACACCAGAAGCCCAGAAGAGACCCAACAGATGGACCCTGCCAGTCCCTGCGTCCAGTTGCTTTTCCACACTGCCCATTCTTCTTGGAACCCGAGCACAGAAGGGCAGTTTTTCTGGGGTCTCTGGAACTCATTCTGAAGAGTCCTGTGGTCAGTCAGACACTGATCAGGGCCGGGGAAGGCTTGGGTGACATAAGAAGGTCTAAAGGGACTTGGGGAGGGGGGCTGGCCACTCCTCATCTCCAGTCCTGGGGAGAGGGTCTGCAGAGTGACCCGGGCTGTGAAGTGCAGGAGGGTACTCATCCCACCTGCAGCCTCAGCCTGCCCCAGGAGTAAGTAACCTGAAAACAACATGCTCGGGCCTCTGCAGCCCTGGGTGGACACCTGGGTGGACACGGTGTCAGGCAGAGCTTGGGTTCAGTGCAGGTGTGTGCTTTGGCCTCGTAGGCTCTGTGGTAGAGGGGCTGGCTCTGACCCCTGGGGTGAGGGAGGGAGGGGACCTTGAGGTGGGAATTTAGCCATAAAGCCACGGATGCTGGATCTCACAGGAGGTGTCCATAAGCCACCAAGTGTCTGCCACTCCTGAGCAGCATGCCCTGGGCCACAACCCTAACCCTGGTCACAGGCCAGGAGTGAGCCAGCCTGAGGGACTGGTGCCCAGCTGTGTGGCTCGCCTGGGGCGCCTCCAGCCCAGCCAGGCCCTGGCCCTCCCTGGGTGTTAACAGCCCTGGCGGTCTCCCCCTCTGGAGACGCCCCCATTCTCCCTGAATGTCCATCTGCTTTCCTAAAGAAACCCCTCCAGGCCTTTGGCTGGCACTTGCTGCAGTCCCGTCTGTCTAGGCCTCCTCAGAGCCTCTTGGGGGACAAGTCTGTCCCAGGGAACCCTGCAGGGCCACGGGGCTAGGATGACTATGGAGGAAGGTGCACAGTGTGGCCCCAGGGCGGGTCTGGGTCACCCACTGGCGCTCCTCTGCTGGGTCTGTACCCCTCCCAGCAGCACTTGCTCCCTGGCGCACCCCTGCCGCGCAGGCCAGGGAGGCCGGCCTTCTGCTCAGGCCTGCAGCTGGGCCTCCCTGGCTGTCCTCCTGGCCTCCGTGTGTTGGGGAAGGTTCCTTCTCAGATGTCACACCGGCACTCGATCCCCTGAGTCTGTGTCTGGGCATTTCCTGGACTTGTTTTTCTTCTTTTTCATTTTCTTCTTCAAGAATGTTTTCCATGAGCTGGGCTCGGTGGTGCACGCCTCAGTTGGCAAGTTCAAAGCCAGACTCAGAAGTTAAGTAAACTTAGTGAGGCCCTGACTCAAAATAAAAAATCAAAAGGCTGGGGATGTGGCTCCGTGGTGAACCGGCCCTGGGTCCACTCCCTAGTGCTCTCCCCAAAATTCTACTTTTGGACTGGGGTGCAGCTCAGCAGCAGAGCAGAGGCCCTGAATCTGATGCCCAGCACTTCAGCACTGAATGTTGGAACTTTTCAAAAGGGATCTTGGGTTAGACTTGCACTCTCAGGGCTAGAGCCGCAGGCCAGAGACGGCCCGTTGTACTTCACCTGCAACACCTAGAAATCGGGCGAGTCCCTATCTTCTTGAAGTCTTCAGATGGTCTTTCGGCTCCTGGGCCTTTCTTATTTAGCCCACAAGGCTGG